AATAATAATAATAATAATAATAATAATAAGTAGTAGTAGTAGTAGTAGTAGTAGTAGTAGTGATGCACTACCTTGACATGGTTGTGGAGGTTGTGTGCTCTGTGGAGGATGAGAGCTATGCCAGAAGTTCAACCGTACTGGACAGGCCTCATTAGAGGAGCCAGACAAAGAGTGTCTCTCTCACAAACAATATGGTAAGACATAATTTACAGAAACCTATATCAGATCGGTCATCATCCGGGTCAGCAAGGATCGTGCTAGGTGTTCTAGTTCCTGGACTTCTGGTGACAAGTGGACTACAGGACTCCAGCTTGTTGGCTAAGCAACCAGGGCCAGCAGTTGCAGGACTACAGGAAGAAAAGTTGTTTACTCATCGCAAATATGTGAAAAGTGAAAACAAAGAAATAATGATCCGCTATTACAAATCAAGTCCAATGAGAAGAGGATATCGGAAAAGAATGCACCAGTTCTGGAAAGAACAACATCCAGAATCAGAAATAACAGAACAGAGGCTAGCAGATCAATCTTGATTTATAATATGAAATAAAGTATTCACAGAAGTAGAATTGGAAGAACTACAAAGGTCTATCCGGGGCAAAGAAACCAAAGCCTTTCCAGAAGTAACTCAGACTGTAGAGGCGAACCAGGGGGAGTTGGCAGTAGAGAAAGCCAGCATATCTATTGAATCATTTTCATTCTCAAACCAGGCACCCTCTCCTCTGCGTTCTCCTCATAAAGAACAAAGCCCTCTAGCTGAAAAACAAGAGGAACTGAAAGAATAAGTGAGCATCTAGAACAGCACAAAAAGAACAGAATAAAGTTGCCTACATTGAAGCTTGTTACCAAAAAAAAGCTAGCAAAAGTATTAAAAGATGCAAATACTGTAATATCAAATATAAGCACCAGCTCACTGAAAGGAAGAAACCAACAAATATACAGCATGGCTGCACTTATAATGAATACCTTGGATGCCAAATCAACAAACAAACAAAAAAAAGCCAAACAGTGCACCACCAAAATGGAGGATCAGGTTGGAAAATAAGATCAGCACATTAAGATGAGATGCAAGCAAGCTAGAACAGATGAAAGAAAAGAAGCTGAAGAACAAAAAGACCAAAGTATACCTAAAAAAAAAAAACCCCCTAGAAACAAGAAAGATCAAGGAAGCACTGGAAATAATAAAGCAGCAAATAACAGCCATACCCAAAAAGATCAGCAGACATGAAGCTCAAATTGCATACTATAGGCAGAATCTCCAATTTCAGTCTAATCAGAAATGTTTCTACCAATCCATCAATGGAGAGACTGCAATGAAGCAGTCAGTACCTGACAAAGAAACAGTGCAGTTCTGAGTGCAGCTATGGGACAACCCAAAGAAATACAGCAAGAATGCAGCTTGGATAAAGGAGGTGGATAAGAATAAAAAAGAAACTGAAATGAAAGAACTTGTAATAACAGCAGAAATGTTGGAGTAAAGGGCAAGGAAGATCATGAATTGGTCAGCACCAAATGAAGATGAACTGCATGATTTTGGTTGAAACATCTGACTAGTCTGCACCCACTCATTGCCAAGCAGTTTAACAACATACTGCAAGGAGGGGAAATGGAAGATTGGTTAGCATCTGGCAAAACCTACCTGATAATGAAAGATCCAACAAAAAGGACAGCACCAGGGAACTACAGGCCAATTACCTGCTTACCAAAAACCTTCACACTGCTAACTGGTGTGGTAGCTGATGCAGTCCAACGGCATCTAGTTGAAAACAAGCTCTTTCCATCTGAGCAGAAAGGAAACTGTTTAAACAGCAGGGGAACAAAAGTTCAGCTTGTAATTGACAAGATGGTTTTGGAAAACTTGACCAACTTGAATGTAGCTTGGATTGATTACAAGAAGCCATTTGACTCCCTGCCACATGATTGGAC